TGATGCAATCTGAAAGCACTTTTTTGTTTAATTTTAATAATATAATGTGTTCTGATGTTTGACCCCAAAACACTCACTTTTCAGACATCAGTAACAAGTAATAGTAATAATTATCCAAAAAAGCTTGCACCAGAGTCCTTCAAACTTCAAAACGTTCATCAATGAAGTGAGGGAAAAGATCAAAAAAGCGGCCCCAAATCATAATCATTTCTACTTTGAACCCACAATTTTCTGTTCAACGATCACTTTATTTGTTTGAATTATTCGACTGGGATTTCAAGTGGGAGTTGATCAAAAAGAGCCTGAAGAGGTCTCCAATTTCAAATAGCGATTCTCGAATTTCGTGTTGAGTTGAATCAAAAAAGCAACCATTCACTTTCATCAGTTATTTCAAAAGAAATGAATATCTTTTGTTTTGTTTTGATTTATCTTGCTGAATGTCTTGTTGCTCAATTATACATAGGTACATTTGATTTTGGTGAGTTTCGCACTTGTCATTGTTATTTTACCTATGTTTTTCATGAGTTGAATAATTAAAAAGTAAAATACGATCATGAAATAGATAATTACTATGTTGATGCAAAAGCAGTTTGGTTTTGGAAAAAACAAACATTAAATTAAATCAAAATTCCTTTAGGTAATATTCCAAATAATAAGCACCATGGCAAGGCTGTGATATCACAAGGGTTATCTATAAAATTCCTCCAACGTTGCTTCAGACCCCCTTAAGAACTTTTGATTCTGTGATTGAAAATAGTCGGGCATCCAAATCTCAACCTCTTGCGCATTCTTAAACTGGCATGGAAATGTTGCATCGATCTGAAGAGGTGCAAATCAGGTGGTGATAAGTCTCGACCATATGGCTCATACGGTAAAATCCTCCATCCTAATTCCTCTAACTCTATACAAGAGGCTTTCGCTGTCCGAGCTTGCGTCGGAGCAAATTGAGAGTCGAGGGATTGAAACCCTTTTGACGCAAAATTTGGTCAACCTTCTTGAACTGTTGAATAAAACAACACCTTGTTTTGTTTGGAGTTGAAATCAAATGTTTTTCCGGGCTCTAATAATTCGAAATAAACAAACCCGTTGGTATTCCGCCAGCAAGACAACATCACTTTGTGCCCATGATAATCCGGCTTTGGAGTTGGAATTGGCATTTTACCCTAGCTGAGCCCAATCGCTCATTGGGTCAATGGCTCATTGGGTCTTTTTCGATAAGTGTTATCGAAGTGAATCCACGTCTCATCCATCGTCAAGATATTCTCAAAAGAATGGCTTCTTTTCGACTTAAGAAGCAAGATATGGCTTATCGTTGCTCCCAGATTCCTGTGCTCAATTCACGTGGAACCCATCGTCCATTACGATTGATCTTTCCGATTATTTCCAAATGGCGGACAATTGTTGATTGATCACATTGGAGATGTTTGGCAAGCTCTCGTGTTTTTGCATTCAATCGGCTTCAATAAGTTGTCCCAATTCATTATTACCAACTCATTACTGCCGAGTGATGCCCGTGTGGTTCGTCTTCAAGAGATTCAAAACCTTCTCGGAATTGGGAAAGCAGGATCTTTCGGTCATAACTCGTTCTCCAAGAGCGGAACAGAGATCACGATGTGATTCGGGTTTCACGATGTGTTTTTGCCCATCTTGAAATCGTAGAGAAGACACGCGCGCACAACATACCTTTGATTGACCATGATCTAAAGCAAATCTCAATTAAAAGTGAAAGCTTTGATTTAGAAAAAGCATAAAAATAAAGTAAAGATTCAAGAGTACAAATATACAAAAAGAAAATCAGATAGGCTTTTCAAATTAAAAAATAGAACATTTAATATCAACCAAAATTTCTTTTGCATCAACCTGACTTAACTACAAACTACAAACAATTAAAAAGTTTAAAAAACTTGAAAGCTAAAGCGACAAATCTTTTGTTTTAATGTAACTTCAGCCAAAATCTATTCTCGAATCGATAAGTACTCTAAAAATATTTTTACTATTTAACTAGTAAATTAGCTAAACTTAAAAACCACTCTTTTCAACTAATTACAACTAATTACAGACGAATCCGAACGAATAAAAGAAACAAACGCTTTGTACAACGAGTTGTTCACGACGAGAAATTATAACCGTTACTTTTATCCGTTTAACAAGAGGTCTACTGAAAATTCAACAACAAGTGAGTTTTCAAAAAAACCATTTGTAAACAATCTTTTAGACCACAAAAAACTGAGCGTCCACTTTGATCGTTGCTGGCGCAAGACGCTGAGAGTCAATTGTTGAGTGCTAATGCTGAACTGAAAATGGTGAGTAGACGTTGTGCTAGATAACTATTTTGTAGATGGAAATGAAAAGAATCAATTAGAGTTGTTCGAAGAAAAGAAATAGTGACAATCTCAACCTCTTGCGCATTCTTAAACTGGCATGGTAATGTTGCATCGATCTGAAGAGGTGCAAATCAAGTGGTGATAAGTCTGGACTATATGGCTCATACGGTAAAATCCTCCATCCTAATTCCTCTAACTCTATACAAGAGGCTTTCGCTGTCCGAGCTTGCGTCGGAGCAAATTGAGAGTCGAGGGATTGAAACCCTTTTGACGCAAAATTTGGTCAACCTTCTTGAACTGTTGAATAAAACAACACCTTGTTTTGTTTGGAGTTGAAATCAAATGTTTTTCCGGGCTCTAATAATTCGAAATAAACAAACCCGTTGGTATTCCGCCAGCAAGACAGCATCACTTTGTGCCCATGATAATCCGGCTTTGGAGTTGGAATTGGCATTTTACCCTAGCTGAGCCCAATCGCTTTCGATAAGTGTTATCGAAGTGAATCCACTTCTCATCCATCGTCAAGATATTCTCAAAAGAATGGCTTCTTTTCGACTTAAGAAGCAAGATATGGCTTATCGTTGCTCCCAGATTCATGTGCTCAATTCACGTGGAACCCATCGTCCATTACGATTGATCTTTCCGATTATTTCCAAATGGCGGACAATTGTTGATTGATCACATTGAAGATGTTTGGCAAGCTCTCGTGTTTTGCATTGAATCGGCTTCAATAAGTTGTCCCAATTCATTATTACCAACCAGAAATTTCTACTTCTATTTTCAGGTAGCCTTTCTTCTCAACATTAAACGAGTACCGAACTTCTATGTTTATGTGATTGCCACTCCGTGTTTCATTTTGACCACTCTGTCGATTGTGGGAATGTTTTGGACGCCGAACATCAAAAAGGAGCAACTTGTGAAGGTGAGTGAGGAAAAGAGTCATTTTTCGAATACATTTCGGAAATTGCTGACAGCTACTGGCGTACTGGAGCTCTCAGAAAAAAAAAAGCTTAGCTATCGCTGACACAAAGTATTAGATTGTGAAGTAAGTCTTTTAAACTTAAAATGTTTTACTACATTTAAAACTAGAATAATGTAGATACTTTCTGAAAAAGTTTCAAAACTTTTAGCAAGGTTTATTTTATTTTTCAAAAGGCCTAAACTTTATCTAGCTGTCCGTTGAAATCGCTGAAAATTTGAGGCTATTTAACTAAAATCACTATTCTGCCTAAGTTTTTACCAAATGGACAGTTTTGGAAAAATTTAATTATGAAATTGAACTGAATTTCTAACTAAATAGCTTTTTGAGTTATTTTTGCTCAAACAAAAATGACCAAGGGTTAGACGAGAGCGATCTTCAGCGACGAGAATAAATGGAACCTTGATGATCTCGATGGATCACTACTGGAGAGAACTAGAAAGCTTTCGATCTATTTTGGGCCAAGGAACTTTAGAGGAGGTAGTGTGATGTGCTGGGCTGCGTTTTGTACCGAAGGACAAGTCGATCTGCAGTTCGTTTCTAATCGAATAACTACTCGGGATTACATGGATGTTTTGGCCACCGGCCTGCTCCTATTTTTGGCCCAGAATCCCTAAGTAAATTAGGAATTCCAGCAGGAAAAGCATTCACAAAGCCAATCATACAAAGCAATGAATGACGGCTAATGGAGTAGCTTCGATGAATTGGCCAAGTCGATCGCCTGATCTCAACCCCATTGAGAACCTCTGGCATCGTGGCTGGGGAAGTTTACAGAAACCGAGACCAGCTATCATCTACTGCTGAACTTCAAGTCGCTATTCGGCTCGCTTGGAGGAATTTGGATCCAAACTTCTTTTTGGATCCAAACGGGCTTCTCCGAGGACACAACGAGAATGTCTTTTATTACATTCGACGTTCAACGCTCGATGAAAATGTTCGTGCTCCCGCCGCCGAAATGGCCCAAAGACGAGTTGCATCTACTTGGTTTACACGGAGTCCTTTTTTCTTAAATTTTTGGCCTTCTGCATGCCGGTTTAATGAAGTAATCTGTAGACGAATTAGATCTTGTAGCTATGTCAAATCTGCCCTATTTTTAAACCTTTTTGAATCTGTATCTCTGTACTTTTACGCTGGTAATTTTTCAGACTTTTTGACTTTCAGACTTTGAAACTACGTTTTCTATTATGGCAATATGCTATGTGTGTCTATGATTATCTGACTCGCTTTTATTCGCCATTTGAATAAAGCATACATATCTATAATTAAAGTTTTTATGATTTGGAATTTGGTGCCAAAGAATGCAAAGAATTCTGTGAATCCAGCTGGCAAAGGTGAAGCAGCGATTTCAAGGAATACTTGTGAGGGACCGTTCGAATTCTCTCGAAAGTCTCGTCCACACTCCCCCTTGCCTTGTAGCTGAACGAAAAGAGATCTTTATTGCTTTACGAACTTATTGTCGTCTTTTTGAGCGCCTTAATTTCCTAAACAATACCTTTTCGACGATCATCAGAATTTTCGTTTTTTCGATTTTTTGCTTCAGATTAAGATCCACATTTTTGAGATCTCCACTTTGCTCATCTTTTATGCCCTTTCTACCGTAATCCTGTAGTTTGAAGTCTAAAAAACATAGGCAAATCTTCAACAACAGCTGAAATAAACCACTTGTAAACTTTTTATTTATTTTGATTCAAAATTTCATGCCAGACCTCTCAAATGTGATGATCAACCTGAAACCTGCCTGCAATCTATCAATCATTTGCATTTGTATACGGTTTGTTGTCGGCTTTTATTTAAATTTGATAAGTTTAAATAAGTTTGCTATGATTTAAACCAAAAACCATCGATTCCTTTCTATTTTTATTTAAATCCCATTATTTCTTTCGATTTTCAGCTCTCAATCCCTCTACGATGTGCTAGGAGTTTCGAAAAGTGCCACGCAACAACAAATCAAACACGCTTTCTATGATAAGTCAAAAAAAGTGAGGAAAAGTTTATGAAATTGATATTCAAAACATTTTGAATGATTTCGAAAGCAAATTCATCAATTCAACCCTCCCTGGGCTGGCCCTGACTATCCTGCCTACTTTATATCTTATCCTGGCTTTGTTTGCCTAATCCTAGCTCTTCTCTGTGTTGCCCTATTCTCGGGCTATGCTATAGACTCACTAGCCTGACCTGGATCTATCCTATTGACCCTGGGAAACTCCGGGAAAACGTGGCGTGAATTTAAATTGACTCAAGTATATTTAAGATCAATTCATTTTCCAGTTACATCCAGATGGGAGCCACTCTAGTGAAAACGAGCGACTCACAGCGACGAAAGCTTTCGTCGAGCTGAAACACGCCTACGATACATTGAGAAGACCGGCCGATCGACGAGCATACGATTTTGGAGAAAGGTGAGAAGAGTAGTTAGGTAATTGAGCCGAAAAAACCGCTATCGTAAGCTAAAACTGGTAAAGTATCAGTTTTGGCTAGCATTAAGATCAGTTAAAACTTTTCACAGTATTAAGTTCAACTTTAGAATCCGGGAGCGCCGACGACAGGGGCCAAGTACGGGAAATTTCTATGGCTCATCGTATTACGAAGAATTTGAGGGGTTTCTTTTCATTTTTTGAGGCTTTTTCAACACTTTTTCAGAAGATCTAGTGGTTTCGGGAATTTCGGCTCATCTCGAATGAATGAAGAGGATTTCCGGTGAAATGAAACTCATTTTTTGAATTGAAAGCTTTTATTCAGATCCGCTTCGAATGATCAATGGAAATGGATCCTTCAGGTTTCGATGATCGGCTTTGGCTTTGCTATTTTGTACAATCTGGGATATGTGTAAGTTGTGGAATCGATCCGAATCCAAGTCCATTTCAGATATCACCTCTATGCTCGTGAAAGAGAGCTGGCGAAACTGGTGAACAAGGATGAGATTGCGAGGAGTTTTCTGAGGCAAAATGGATTTGTAGAGATCAGAGAGGACCATGGAAAGGTGGGAGAGATTTGAGAAGAATTCTGAACCACAATTTGAACCGGCTCCTTGGACTTGTAAGTCAGGCTAAATCGTAGCTAGGTCCACGTTTGGCTTCTAGCGAACGAAGTGGACTTTGAGCTGGGTTTGCAGTAAAAAAAAAGTCACCAGGCAGCCCAGAATCTAGGCAGTAAGCAAAGCTAGGTTCAGATCGAGTTCCGGCTCTTAGCGGCTCAGGCACTTTTCGGGGCTGGGCCTGCAGTACGACAGAATTAGAAGCCTGCCCTACATGACTGGAAATCTGAGATGCTAAGAAAATAACATAGGCTACAGTGCTACTATGGAACGCACACTACATAAATTTTCTGGATAAACGTAGTACTGGCAAAATTTTGCGCTTACCAAAATTTATCCTGGATCTCACAGGATATAAAAATCTACTTGGATAACATTACGATAAGAAATTTCTTTTAAAACAACCCTGGACTTGAGCTTCTGAACTGGTTCGACTTAGTTCCAGCTCCTGAAAGAACAAGAAACATTTTGTTGGCTAGTAAGTAAAGACAAAACCTTGAAGTCAGCTCGTTTTAGATCATGAACTTGGCACAAATTCTGAAAGATGACGTCGACGAGGCATGGAGGAGACGATGTGAAGAGCTCAAGGACAAAAATACGGGACAAAAATAAAATACAAAAAAGACGAGATTCGAGAGGAATATCGGTGAGCGATTGGGTAAATGGTAGAAAGGGATTTTTGAAAATAAAACAGTTTTTTTCATCAAAAATTCTTAAAAGTCAGCAATTAGTTGGAAATTTTCAGTTGGTTGAGAGCCGTGCAAGACGTGGATAACAATCGGAGAGTGAGGGTGAGCTTTGTTAAGTAAAATGCTGGCATTTTTCAAATCAAAAACTGAAAATTGCATTTAGAACCTCTAGAGTATCTAGCTTAAAGTATTTCATTTATAAAATAATCTATCTATTTAAAATCTATCTAATCAAAATGTATCTAATTAAAATCTATCTAATTAAAATTAAAATTAAAACTTTTATATCCAAATTTTCACAACGATTCAAAAACTGGTTTTCAAGATATGCCAATTTTACGAATTTTCACAAAACTTGCATTTTAAGCAAACTACTAAGTGTATCTTTTTGGAAATTTGGCTATAAGCCTAATTTTCGATTCTTTACAACTCTTCTATTGGCATCAAAATGGGTTTCTTTTGAAGAAAGTGCTCAAACTGGGACAACAAGTCCTTCATTTTTGAGTCTCACACTTGTTTCACACAGAAACTCGAATTCTACTGGGAAAGAGGAAACCGCAAATTGCCTGTAAAATGAACAGAAGTCGTCAATAATAATGGAAATTATTTCAAATGAATTGATGGTTTTATGTTGAATAAATTTTAGTTCAAAGTCCCGCAGTTTTCAATTCACCAACCGAATATACGCCCGATTGGCTTTCCTAGTCAACCCACAAATTCTCAAAGATCGCTGGATCATTCATCGGTTGTACAGAGGGAGAGCTTTGGTGTGAAGAGCAGCAAAACAAGAACACCCAAGGAGAACGAGGCAATCACCATCGAAAACACAGGTCACAAAACCAAAATCTTTCACTCGTTTCGAGAAATGGGATATGAAGAAGCCTAAGCTTTCAGCTTTTCAGTTCATTTTCCTCACATGCAATCTCTCCAATCGTGCATGCAATGCAGATGATTGTGAATAAGATTGTGATTCTTCGCGAAATGTCCAGTGAAAGCGACTGTGATTGGGTAGATTGTCAGCTAGAAAGCAATGCACATTCCACGGAATTTGGCTTTTATTTCACAGTCTGTCATAGCAAAATTGAGTCAAATAAATAAAGAAAGTACACAGAGATCCACACAAAATAACGTAGCTAGAAAGCCATGCACATTCCACGGAATTTGGCTATTGGGTAAATGGTAGAAAGGGATTTTTGAAAATAAAACAGTTTTTTTCATCAAAAATTCTTAAAAGTCAGCAATTAGTTGGAAATTTTCAGTTGGTTGAGAGCCGTGCAAGACGTGGATCACAATCGGAGAGTGAGGGTGAGCTTTGTTAAGTAAAATGCTGGCATTTTTCAAATCAAAAACTGAAAATTGCATTTAGAACCTCTAGAGTATCTAGCTTAAAGTATTTCATTTATAAAATAATCTATCTATTTAAAATCTATCTAATCAAAATGTATCTAATTAAAATTAAAATTAAAACTTTTTAAGGCTCGTCGTGCCGCCGCTCAAAGAGATCAAGAGCCAGGAAATTAATAGAAATTTGTGATTTTTGTGTAAAATTGTATAGATCTTGTATTTTTCAAGTTTATTGCTAAGATTTATGTCATATTTTGATTTAGAATATTGGTTTTTTAGCTTTACGGGTTATTTTTAGTCATTTCTTCTTTATTTTAATCGTTTACTTACTATTCTTATAAATTTTTGAAAGTAAAACAATGAAATTTTATTGGATAACGTCCAGAAATTGTTTGAGCACCCTTTTCTTTTCAATTTTATTCAGAAATTAATCGAAATTCTGTCATTTCACGTTTTTTTAGGACCACTTTGTTATCGAGATAATGGGGAATGTTCGTCGCTGGATCTAGCACTTTTACAGGGTTTGTTTTTGAAAATTCTTGAAAGTTTAAGCTAATCTAAAGCTACTTACAAGATTTCTAAGCCTTTTTCAATTTAGATCACCAAAAATGGAGCCCGAGAATCGTTTGATGTGCTCATCATTGAATGTGCTCATCACTGGGTCCACATCGGGCATCGGTGAGTTTGAAAATAGTTTCTCTGTACAATCAGAAATAGACTTGCTTATCGGGTTAAATTGATAACTGAATATTCTAAGATTTGCTGCATTAAACGCTCTAGTTTAACGTGTGAAATTGCCCCAGAAAGCATAACGGGGGAGCAAAGTATGCACAATCCTTGGCATAGGAATGACTCTAAAGAAACCGTAGATGCTAAAGATTGATGATTTCTCTATTGTAATCTATTTCCTTTTTGACTTTCAGAATACGGTAGTTGATGGGTTTATTGGGTTGATGTTTAGTGGGTTGATGGTTGATGGGTTTAAGATTTTCCATGATGATAGAGTGAAATTCTTCAACTTTTCAGGGCTACACGCGGCAAAACATTTCTATTCCCTTGGCGCCTCAGTGATTATCACGTATCGAGAAGCGGAAAGGGGCAAAAAAGCGGTGGAAACGGTGGTAGAGAGTGCGGTGGCGATGGAAGGGCAAAGTGTTATGATGTTGGAGGTGAGGATAGAAATTGATATAACTTTTTGTCGCTATAGAAATTGATCTAACTTAGCTGTGATCTAATGATCTAATGATTGATTTAACGTGGTTAATTTTTGTCTCCAAAATCACTTTCTGGCGTAGTTTTATGCGTAGATTCCGAAAAACACAACGAGAGCTTGGGAAAAAGCGTTTTAAGCCGAGTTTCGGGGCTTCAAAGTGCGCGCTTTTATAGTGTGATAACGGTGTGTGAGTGTGTACTGATCAAAACAAAAATCTCTGGATTTTTATGGGACAACCTAATAGCTAAAACCTAATAGACATGGGACATCCTAATAGACAACCTAACAAAGTAAATCCAACTGTTCAATGTGATCATTTTGCAGTTAGACCTTTGCTCACTCATTTCCGTAGGCAATTTCTGTACGGAAGTGAAAAATGCGTTGAAATCGCTTGATGTTCTGGTTTGCAATGCTGGTGTGATGGGAAGACCGTTTGAGGTAAAAGATTTAAAGAATTTAAAGATAATTCAGTTGAACATCTTTAGCTAACCACGAACGGAGTCGAGTCTCATTTTGCCGCCAATCAACTCGGGCATTTCATCTTGGTGAGACAATTGATCGAATTGATAGAAAAAGCGGAGAATGGAAGGATCATCGTTGTGTCGAGTGGATATTATAAACAGGTATTGAACTTGAGTATCATCTTTGGATCAAAATTTTAACTCAACAATCCTTTTAGGTCACCGAGATGCGTACCCGGAAAGAGTTGATGGGATTACAAGCCGGCGATTGCCTATGCAAATAGTAAACTCGCGAATTGCCTCTTTGTGAAAGATTTGGAAAGGTTTGTGTTTCGGTGCTGACATCTATGTTTCTATCAACGTTTTCTTTGCATTTTTGGCTTCTAAACTTCTTCCAGACGAGAGCTAGTGCTCTATCGTCACCTTAGATCTCTCTTAAAGCTGATCTTGATACATCTTTTGCCCTCAGTTATTCTTTAAGTTTACTGCAGCATGAACTAGTAACGGTAACCGGCTTTAGAACATCTACAGATTACGCTCTCGCCTGGAAGAAGTTTGGAAGTCAAAACCAAATCCATCAAATGTTACCGCTTAACACCAAATGTTATTGTATTCATCAAAAAATGTGTTTTGCTTGTAAATATTGTTTCCTCGAAAGAAATGGGCACACGTGATAAAGTAAAAAAAGACAGTTTGTAGTTATTCTAGGAAGAAATTGCTTCTATGAAGCTAAAAAGCGTCCTGCTTATTAGCAACACATCTTAGTGGCGCAATTTGTTGCATTCTATAAGAAGTTGGCCCTCTTAGATACATGGCCCTCTTTTTGTTACAACCGATCGATTTTCCTTGTTAACTTCAAAAACTTCTGGGAAATTCAGGGCCTCAAAAATTTTGCAACGAGCTAAAGATACACTGAATTGGATCTACAGGGAGAAAAGATACTTCAATTGAGTCCTGACTTCGAAGGGTTCTTGGGCTCCATTATGCCGAAAACGATTAATCGTTTGGGACCACTTTTCCGTCTGGAACAACTTTTTCCATAAAAGCGAAAAAACGGAAAAACTTTGAAATTTTTTCTGCCCGGAGGATGCACCAAGTACATACAAGCTCCCGATGTCATGTGAAATGCACCATTTAAGTAGAAGTCACTAAACTAGAAACTACAATGTCTTCGGTGACCCTTTGCATAGTCTCACCTTGGAACAGCCCACCCAGAAGCGCTTATCTTTGGTCTTCCGGGTTTTGCACTGTTTTTTTCAAGTATGAATTGAACTTTGCTGAATGCTGAATGACAGAGAGCATATTACCTCTTAAATAGTAAATGAATAGCACCAAAAGTTATTGTATCAATTCAAAAAAGTGTGTTTTGCTAGATTGCATCCTCAAAAGAAGTTGTATCCTATCATTCCTATTTCTCGCCCCACCCATCCCTAAACAGCCGAAGAAAAAATCCCTCCAAATTTGCATAATGGTCCGAGGATTGGAAGCTTAAGCTAACCGAGTCTAAATCCTACCACTCCTGTGGTAGAAAATCCTGTTCCAGTAAAATTAACCATACCTCTATGCCCAAGCTTGATGCGGGTAATTCAATTCGCTATTATAGTCTCAACTCTATGTTTCAAGAACCACCTTCAGATCATTTATCGTTAAGCTTCGTTCTGTGCGAATCGAACTCTTAAAACTATAGGCGTCTCCAACCTTCAAGTCTACCGCAAATGTTTTACGAAAAGACCTATTCTAGGATAGGCCTCAGTGATTTGCTCACTCTCTAAAAAAGAAAACAAATTTGAAAGTGTCCAAAGGAGATATACTAAGTTGGCCTTATTCAAAATCAATTATTCACTATACTCAAAAGAACCTACCCTAAAGGTTAAGGCTTTTTGGCTCAAAATCTTTTCATTACGGCCGCTTGGTCATTGATAGAATGCTTTAAAATGCAATCACTTAGAGACATCTCTGTTACGTAATTCTCCTTTTAAGTGGAAAATAGGGCCTGGATCCAACCTTGGAATTCTCCACCGAATCAATTTATGCTTATCATGTGCGAATTTTGAGGTTGCCTTAGACTGATTTGTCGGATATGTTTATTTAATCAGTGCTCTATTTATCATGTTTCTATGTTCTTTGCAGTCCTGTGAGTTTCAGTCTTAGTTTTTGGATTAAAGCTTGATGTATTGGATTAAAGCTTCATGTATTGGATTAAAGCTTGATTATTATTATATGAAACCTTTTTAGTCCGTCCGTCATTACCTAAAATCGAGTTTTAATGCGAATAAAAAATAACAAACTAAATCTTGAAACAAACTCGCAGGTTTATGGTTCAAAAGTAAAAATATCTTGGATCTTGAAAGATTTGGAAAGCCTTGGCTTTGCTGAATGACCAAATCCATCAAATGTTACCGCTTAACACCAAATGTTATTGTATTCATCAAAAAATGTGTTTTGCTTGTAAATATTGTTTCCTCGAAAGAAATGGGCACACGTGATAAAGTAAAAAAAGACAGTTTGTAGTTATTCTAGGAAGAAATTGCTTCTATGAAGCTAAAAAGCGTCCTGCTTATTAGCAACACATCTTAGTGGCGCAATTTGTTGCATTCTATAAGAAGTTGGCCCTCTTAGATAATTGGAGAAAAAAGAAACCCTTAGATCACAAAATTTTTCAACCATTAATGCTCAAGTTTCCTTCAAAATGCAGTGGAAGTCACTAAACTAGAAACTACAATGTCTTCGGTGACCCTTTGCATAGTCTTCCGGGTGGTCGTTTTGCACTGTTTTTTTCAAGTATGAATTGAAAGAAAGCCTTATCAATTTCTTCAATGAAGTTTTTGCATGGCACCAGGGTTCATTTGCACAAAAAAATGAAGAAAGTCTTGGCGTTCTGATTTGACAGATATTATAGTTTAAAACAAGCTGTGCTTCGACAATTTCCATTAAATTATTGGATTATTTAATTCGTTCGAAAAGTGTGGAAGTTTTGGCACTTTGAGACCGGCTTCCTTTTGAAACGATTGACAATTTACGTGAACGTCAAGTCAAATTTAATCTCTTTCGAGTTCGAGAAACTTAGTGTGTGATAGGTCGAAATGAGACTGAGTTTGAATAACTTTAGCAAAAGACACTAGTTTATGGTTATGAGTTTATGAGTTCACCGTCTCGAAAGTGTATTAGGTACAGTTCATTTGTATACAGTATGTATGTGGTAAATTCTTATGTAGTAAATCCTCGTTAACAAATAAATTTCGATCGTAAACTATTAAGAGTACTCGTACTACTAAAGATTTTCTAGATTTTCTAGAATTGTAGATTTTTTAGATCCTACCCAAAAACTCGAAGAAGAATGTAGATAAGGCCATTTGAGCGGGTCAATGTTTTGAAGGTAATAAAATGGGATTGTGTTTGGAGTGATCTGCTGTGAATGGCGTTGAAAAAGGTTGTTTGGAGATGAAATGATGTTTCCTTTCAAGGGTTTGAAAGTCTTGGCATCGGTATCAATGTAAACCATTGACAAGTCAGGCAATGTCAAGTTTGACATCTTAAAACCAGGAATTGGTGTCAAGGCAAGAATCGAAACTATCGCAAAAAAATAAAACTTTTATGTTTGAAATACAAGGCACAGAGTACTCGAATCGAAGCTCGACTTGGATAACTTTATAAGAGGTCCACATAAGGTTCACTTCCAATGCATACTTTGAAAAAACCAAAAAAAGCTTTTCAAAAGCCATTTTCTTTTACACCTTAATATATTGTTAGACTCAGGTATCTTCCTGAATTATTTGCAACAGTGAAGTAACCGTAATTTTTAAAATTGACCGTTTGCTTTTACAACGCTCAAACTCTCGCGACCATTTCAGGTGTTAGTGGAAAGATTTCTGGCAAAATTGAGTCAAGTATTACATTTCCCTAATAGTCGGGCCGCAAATAGCAAATCGAAACGCCAAGCTTTTGATTCTTTGTTGCAGAAATGAACCCTGAAAGAGCCACCTCAAAAAATTATGAGGCAAGGGCAACCTCGTCGGCCGGCGGTCAAAAAAAAGCGCGGTCGGGGCCAACAGCAATTTTTCTAAAAAATCGTAGTTTATGAGGAGAGGCTAGGCCTCTTTTTTGCTTTTAGTCTTTCTCTGCATGCCTATTGGTGTTTTCGAGTTCGAGTTCGAGAGATGTGGCATTTCGAAAGAGGTTAGAGAAAAAAGGCAGACCATTGACTCTCTTCATTCGTTCTACTCTCTAGCTTTTCTCTAGCTTTTAGCACTTCTGGGTGGCGCGATCGATGGTCTTTTTTCCTTCTCTTTTCCACCTTTTTTATTCAATTTTTCTTTCACTGATTACACCCCACCTCTTTTTCTCGAGAATTTCTCTCCTATATATTTGCAAAAAATACACTTTTCGACGTTTTATTGCTCTTATAAACTTTTTAGAGATGAGCTTTTTCGAAATTTGACTAACTTATGCTTTTTCCAGATCAATGATATGCAAATGGGGAGCGTGTCGAAAAGCGGTCAAAACAAAAGAGGTTTAGTGTAGATAGAGTTAAAAACAGTTCATGAAAATTTAGAGGCTAATAGCGCATGTTAAAACAGTTCATTTCGACCCGTTGGCTCAATTTAAGCCTCGCCCGGATAGTTACAATTGTGAGTGGAGGAGTTGTCGTGGGTAAGTGCTCAAGAATTAGGTTACCAAATAAGTTTTCTTTTTCAAAATTCTCTTTTTCAAAATTCCGTTTAAAAATCATAAATCCTAGAATTAACCTATAGTTTACTGCAAATAAAAAGTGTTTATTGTTTAATTTTCCATGTTATTACGTCAATACTTGAAGATTTGAACTTTCAAAAAAGTAGGAAAAGGAACGAAAAAAACTTGTTCATCAATCTGATAACTCTAAAACTTTCAAGTGAACTTTAGAAAGCGGTCCTTCCAAGTTCCCTACCGGTTGAATGCTCACGTAAGGCAGCATACCGGAGAGAAACCACACACATGTCCAAAACCTGGATGTTCAAGGGCATTTTTTCGCGCCGAGGGGCTCAAATGGCACTTAAATTTTCACGCCGGCAAAAAGCCATATAGGTGTAAAGATTGTAATCAGGTATACGATACAAGTCAATATGTGCCAATCCTTTTTCTTGATTTGGAAACCCGATTTGTTTCAGGAGTTCAGGAGTACTAATGATCGAGCTAAACACATGAAAGGAGTACATAGAAAGGAGGTGACAAATAAAAAATAATTTAACAAAATCCCACAATTTAGAAGCGCCAGTGCGGATATCAAGGATGCAAGAAGGCTTATTCCGCCACGTCAAGTCTTCGGAAACACGTAGAAAAGGTGCATGGTACAGAGGTGTGGGAAATATTCAAGAAGAAGGATTGTGGCTCAAAAGATCGAGAAAGCAGCCACGGCCCTGACTCTGGAGGACATTTACCGGTAGTTGTTAACAAACGTTGGTTTATTCTTATACTATTGTAGGAAAATCCGGGCTTGACGGAGACGGTTGAAATGTACGATCCAAGCTATGAGCTTAATCGAGAAGGGGAGTCGAATGTGGCAAATGCAAATGAGGGGCCGATCAACGGGCCTGAGCTCAGCGGATATCTCACTGCCGATGTCGAAAAGGAAGGAAGTTTGTTGCAAGATGATTTCGGATATCGAAACATCTACACAATGGCTCCAAGTAAGATCTCTGCGAGCTTACTTTCAGAAAATAATTTCTAGTTTCTACCTCATAATAAAGTAGAATTTTATTGGTAGAAGCCAAATTACTTTAGATTTAGGTTTTGGCCGAGCTACGACGAGCATCGTGGCGAGTGATGGTTCAAGGATTGCTGAAGGAAGTGGGTAATTTGAATACATCTTTAAAGGAAAGGATATTGATGAAGCAAGACTTTTGAGTGAAGTGTTTTGGTGATAAAGAAACCTAGAAAATGATCTTTGAAATTTAGAGAAATTTTGTGTCTTTTAAGAACCCACCACCTTATTAAATCATTTGTCAAAAAATCGGCCTTGCGTTATCTCTCTTTTCACCGAGTCACGTAGTTTTACCAGAAAAGGGTGGATTTGGACTGAATTCAGCCATTCCATACATATATTCTTTAGCATATTTATCAGTTTTCAAAAAGATGGATATTCTCGGTAATTTTCCCTGTTGCTATTCTCTAAAAACCTGGACGTATTCAGCCAGACTTACAAGTGTAGACAAGAATCTTATTGGTAAATGCTGTTAAGTGGGTTTATTTTGTTTTGTTATAATCTCTCAAGAATCTAGACGTCTTCAGCAAAATTAGTACATCTTTTTCATTGGACGCTCACGTGTGCTTTGGCCAATTTGTAGCTGAAGAATTTATGTTTTCCTTTAACAATCATTCCCACGCTTCGAGGGCTAATTTTCAGCTGTTTGCCCATCTTTTGCATCGACTACAGCTTGGTTTGGCAAATTCGAAAGCGAATTTCGCTCATGTTCGTAGGCGTTACGGCATTTGGTGGTCGACCACTTCGAGGACGATCCTTGTTGTTCTTTAAGTCTTTGTAACGTTTAAGTGCTTTCTTGGCGCTTTTATTTCGTGATTTTCACAATTTCCGGGCTATTTTTTCCGCCTTGGTATAATCCGAGAATCAACGTCGTTTTTGGTGTTCATTTCTACGAATTTTAGCTAAACATCAAAAATCACAAATTGCTTTACGATACGAGACTATATAACTAATTTCAGATACTGTCAATAAACCTTTGCCAATAAACCTCGAACCACCGCCATCCGTGCAATGTCTGAGTGATTCAGTCTTCCTACCCGCCAAAACACTACCGGCAGCCGCTCGTGCTGAGAATTCTTCTACGGTTACAATTTGGGATCGACCAACGACATGTGAGTAGAACCATGATTTGATTATCTAATTACTTCCGAAGCTTTTGGTTTATATCAAGTAAATGACGTTGCTTTAGCTCGCGATGACTCTGCATCACAGTTAATGGCATCAACTCGTGAAGAAGATGGAGAAGATGATATCATGTTTGTGGTAAGTGAATTGTTTCTGCTATTAACTTTAATTTTATGTCAAGATCTTTAAAGCAAACTTGTTTATTTACACAGGATTCAACCAAAAGGAATAAACCCGAGGAGAGAGCAAACTTTGTCCAAGAAGAGGATGATGGGTGCATCATTGAAGATATCGTGCCACGGCATGTTCCGAAATATGAGAAACGATGAGAAGTTGATTTTAGATCAAGTTCTCAAGGAGGAAGAAAAGAAAAATTCAATGTCCAAAATGCTCAAAGAAATTTTTCACAAGAGGAAGCTGCGACGAACATCTGAGAGAAGACCATCGAGCTGATAAAGGAAGTCAAACGTCGGTGAAAGGGGTTTGTATTGTTGCTAATATTTAAAAATACTTAAATAAGAGTTGGAATTGCTAATATTTAAAATATTTAAAAAGAGTTGCATCTTACAAGGATTACCATAATTTCCAGACCTACGGCCTGCCATACGATGAAAGTAGAAACTTTTACATTTGTGTCATGTGTTCGATTATCTACGAGGACCCGAAGTTTTTCCAAAAACACATGAGTGAAACACATGAAAACTGGTTGCATCTTTTTGAAATATTTATAGTCAAACAGCTTTTCAGTCCTCCCATTGTGTGTCCATTGTGTCCTTGTGTGGGATTCAATAAGAAAGGCTCGGAAGCACATTGGGAGTTACATCAGAGATATGCAAAAGCATCTGGAGTTCCCAACATGTGTGTCGAACATAATGTTGTGTTTGGAAAAGTGAGTTTGGGATTGGGATAACTGCCGGACATGCACTTGCTCATTTCAGAACATCGAGTTGATGTTTCACGCCAATTGGAAGCACGATGCCAAACTCTTGTTCTTCTGTAAAAAATGTTTCTTGGCCTCCATGAATGGGGCTACGATCGTACGTCATTTCAAAACTTGCAAAACCGTGGTAAGTTGTTTGAAGATTATATAAAGACTAAAAAGGATTCAGAAAAGACCAAATGAAACCTTCCCAGCGTCGACAAATCTCGAAGGAGAACAAGCGTTGGGGGTCATTTCGGTAAACACTGTCAACTTTCAACCGGCTGATGAAAAGGCATGGATACAGGTAAATCAGAAATACCAGAAATATTTAGCTTTCAGCTTTATTCGTTTTGAATATTAAATGCTCAGCCTGATATTCATTTAATCGACTTTTAGCGTCTTGCTTCCCCAAATCCACCTTCGACCGCCGTTCCCTCCCAATGTAATCACAAAACGCTGGTCGCCGACAAATATCCATCTGTTTTATGTTCGGATAAAAATTGCAATACTTGGGTAATTCAATAAAGTAACACTGGCTTTTTACTAAATTTTTCCTTTTTTAATTTTAGAGAATGATTTTTAGTACCTTCAACCAGCTTACACGGGCACATTCGAGGATCAGGCCGAGAAAGTCGAAGAGTTGATGGCAAGAGAGAGAACTATCCTTCAAAGCCCCTGGTTAATCTTGAATAGAACCATGGAGATGCCGAATCCACAAAGTGAGATCTTTGACTGCATTAACTATGAATATACCGTTATTGTAATAGCAAAGATAAAATTTGGGCATTTTTAAGGCACTCTTCAGAGGTAATAGGAAAGAGCCAAATATTTAGATCTGCCGTTCTATGTTCGGTTGAAAGCGGCATACGGTGCATCAACCATCGGACTTCCTTTTCGGCCCCCACTTTTCAGGTGGATGGCTCGAATAGCAAAAGAATAAAAAAATTAACGACACACTGCATATCGCTCAATGCAGAAATGTTATTCTTGGAAAAGCTAAAAACTTTTAGGCTCTCCGGCTCAAACGTCCACAGTGTCGAAGAGAGTTTACGGGTAAGTGAACAGACCAATTATGAAATGAAACTGATAACGAAGGATACCTAAATTAAACAAATTTAGTTTTCGCCGTACCAAATCTTGAGTACACCTCAAGACCAACAAGTCCCAACTGTGAAACGCTCTAGAGTACAAGGCAATCGATTACAACGAGTGCAGGTAGGTGTCAAAAGTGTTCGACTTCCTAAAAATCAACTTTAGACCACTCTACACTCAGGAATTGTGAAAAAAATGTGATTTCAAAGATTTTTGAAGATATTGCACAAAAAGAACCAGTAAAAACGGATGCTGAACAAATGTTCCAAGAAATGATCGGTCAAACAAAAAATAAATACTTTTGTTTGGAATGTAATAAGCCGGTTTCCGGGAACGAAGAACAAGATCTTGTCCGACATATGCTTGGGCATACAAAGTGAGTGGCGAAATAAGTTTAAGAATCAGAATATTTAAATTTAGGCATATAGCGCACTTTGAGCTTCGTTGTCCGTTTCCGGGGTGTCCGGAGAGAAATTTGAAGTCGTCAGTAAAGCTGAAGATGCATCTCTTCGCAGCGCACGCCCATCAACTTCCACACTCGGCGATGTGCGTTTCTAATCTGTTAATGACTAACTTCAAAAATTAACGTCAGAAAATGACCTAAAACAAAACTTTCAGATGTGGTATGAAATTTGCGGCAAATGATGTCAATGAAACGCACGGTATCGAACATGAGAGGTAAAGCTTTTCAAAATTGAATAGTCAAACTCAAAGTCAAATTTATCTTGCATGATTTGCATACTTCAGAAGTGGAGACGACCTTTGTTGCAGCTTGTGCTTAACGATGAATCGTTGGACCAAAGAGGAGACGGGAATTCCAAAATATACCCATGAGTTCATTCATGGAATTATTCGCATACTGAGATGTCAAATTTGTGGAGAAGAAATGAAAGGGCCCAACCAGGTCATTATTGTCTATTTGCGAATTGGGAACAAGAGATAAAGTTTCAGAACAAAGCTTTGCTTCAACATTGGAAAAGCAAACACATTGAATCGAGTTCGAATGCTTCGACTCTAACGTGCGGGGTAGGTGTTTTGAGGTTTTCTGCAATCTAACGCTAAGTAAGCTCAACAAGCGGTCGTGGTTAGAATCGGCAATCAATTTAGGGCTGTCAAAAGCCAGTGTCTCGCAAGGAAATCGAGGCTCACCTCAAAAAGCACATGGTTGGTTAAAAATTACATCTATAAGAAAGAAATTCAAGATTTAGCTATCAAAATTTACCATGCAAGAAAACGTTGCGAAAAGCAAGATCTCCTTGCATTTTCGCTACATGATGGGTGAACAGTCTTTTTAAATTAAGTCTTATTATAAACCGTATTCTCTCTAATAGTATTGCGGTCCGGGGGGTTGAAAAATAGTGGTGCCTCAAAGATTTGAATTTTTGGTGTTTCTTTGTCATCTTTTTGTTGATGTGACATTTTTAAGCTATTCAAGCAAGCAAAGTGAGGCTTTTTATTTATTGATTAACTATTCTTCGAAAATCTAAAATTGTTGCGAGTGCGGAAACCTCTTTTTATTCAACTCCTTTTTAAGGCCCACAACTGTATCAACTGTACAAAGGAGCCAGTGTACATATAAATACTTTATTCAGGAAGAAATAAAGTGCCAAAAACGACATGTAGATGCGTAGATAAAGATCACACAGTCACTTAAAATGCAACGCAATAGCTCTTTTAAAATCAGACACGGTGGAGATCAAACTCAAGGGCAAGTACGTGAAAGATTTGCAAGAATTTTAAAACCATCTGATGTGTGTCTTGCTTTGGCAAATGATAGAACTCTTTTATAGTAGTGCACTCTCCAATAGTCTAATGTCGTTCAGGAGGGGTTGAAAAAAATAGTAGTGAGAGAGAATACAGCATCTCGAATTTATTGCTTTCCAGATTTTTATGGTCTTAGCTTCAACTCGAGGACAGAACAATGCTCCAATGCTAGTTGTGAAAACTTGTAATAAAATGGCAAGATTGTTAGGAATTCAGGTGAACATTACAAGATAGTTTGGTGTTTAAACGAAAAATGTCTATTGGTTCACTTTCAATTCTAGGATACCAACCCTACTCAACGATTTTACGAAGATGAATGACATGTTTTTGGGAGGAAAATTCTATCGTTTTTATTCAATTCGATCTTCCAAGCTTCTGACTACAATATCTAAAAAACCATGGTGGCAGAATATTTTTCTATTGTTCTTTTGTTCTATTTGTTTTGATTTTTTACAAGGAGTGTTTTTACACTTTAGAGCACAAAGTACATCCAATACTCAAACACTCACTTTCTTTTCCGCATCCAATTGTCGAGCTCGTCGGTCGCTGTATTCTCAGCGATTAAATTCTGCAGTTCTCTTGCTTTTCTTCAACAATCTGTAATTTTTTTAGCAATAGCTGGTTGATATCTTTTCTAATTTGTTTTCCAAGCTCCATTTCTCTTTCTACTTTATTTGTTTATTCAATCTTTCGATATCATTTTGTAAATCAGAAAAAATGTGAATATATTCGATAAAAATCTAAGTAAGCTCAACAAGCGGTAGAGCCATCAAGGCTGTCAAAGTGTCCAAAATCGCCAACAAAAATTACATCTATAAGAAAGAAATTCAAGGTTTAGCTATCAAAATTTACCATGCAAGAAAACGAAAAATAGTGGTGCCTCAAAGATTTGAATTTTCCTTTCGCTAGCCTCTCGACTACTTTTTGTAAAGGAATGTAAAGGAACAGCTTCTGATAAGCGGTTCTCGAGATTTCGGGTAATTTGGGCAACGTTTTTTTAAAGCCATTTTTTTAAAGAAATAGTGAACCATTTTGATGCAACAAAAAAGGTTTTATAGGTGCAAAAAGTTTTTCGCAAAAAAAGTAAATTTCGGCGCCGACTCATTCTCCCCAACCCAATATTAAAGTATTTACGGTAAAATTTAAACGCGTGCTTTCGAGCGATTAAAAGTCTCAAATGAGTATAACACTTAGCAATCTAGTTGTGTCCTTAACATCTAGACTTCAGCCATTAACAAATATTTTTTTGCTTTTGCCTCTTTTTCCTTTATTTTCTCAACTTTATCGAATAGAAATGGAAACCACAAGATATCTGTTAAAAACTATCAAAAAAAATAGCTGGTTGATATCTTTTCTAATTTGTTTTCTAAGCTCCATTTCTCTTTCTACTTTATTTGTTTATTCAATCTTTCGATATCATTTTGTAAATCAGAAAAAATGTGAATATATTCGATAAAAATAGAGACAAGATTACGGTAAAAAGAGAAAAGTGGAACGTGTTTTGAGTGTTTTGAGAAAAGGATTGTTTTCCGATTAAACGAACTCTTGCACTTTTCCAATGCCCTCAGTTTTGCGGTAGTCCATTTTCAAAGCGTGACAAAGTACTGTCAAATGCCACAATACAGTATGTCTTATTGTAGTAGTACGTCTTATTGTAGTATGTAGTTAAGGTACTGCATACTGCATAAGATAATTGCCGATAGAGTGTCCAAGTCCAATTCCCATTTTATGTTTTATGTATGAAGAAAAAGATGCTTAACAGATGAAAGAAAACATGAAAAATAACAAAAACTTTCTAAGAGTCCGCCTGGTCATCTTCACTTTTGTTTCGGCTCAACTTTGGGTGCTGATAGAGAAAATTCTGCAATTCTTTCTCTTTTGCCTGTCTTCTCCCTTATCCTGTGTTTTCTGTTTCCTTTATCTCTATCCATCAAATAGCATGTTTGGATAAAATCGACTACTTGCATTTATTCATTGAGTCTGGCTCTTCTTAGCTGAATGTATTTCTCATATAAATTGCTTGTTTCCTTGCTGATTGCCGACTCCATCACGCTCCATCAAAATGCCGGGCTCCATCAAACTTTCGTTCAACACAAGCTGATTGATTCAATTGAACGAAAGTTTTTTATTTGATTGAATGCAAAGTCTTTAGCTTATCTTTTCTAATCTTTAGTAAAAGATTATTCAATAAAATTCAAAAATCTTTCTCAATTCAAAAACCAAAAAAAATCAAAAAAAAAGTAAAAAAAAAAATAGAAAAAAGAATCCTTAAGGGCCCCAAATTCTTTTGATTTTTTTTCCCCCTGTTTCCTTTGATTCCCCTTCTCCCCGGCCCCCTCCCTTCTTTTCCTTTCTCCTTTTTTTTTTCTTTTCTCTCTTTTCTCCTTTTTCCCCTCCCCAGATTTCTAACCAGTAAACTTTTCCTTTTTGCTGCGAAGCGGAAAAAAAACCCCCCAAATCCCCCGCTATTTTTTGTCCTAAACCGACCCCTGCAATTCATTGTCACCTCCAATACAAACTTTTTTATCTAAAGGAAATTGGCCTCCTTCAGAAAATGCTTCGTTTTCGTTCTTTGACGACGAAAATGAGGGCATTGGAAAAGTACAAGAGGTTCGTTTAATCGGAAACCAATCCTTTTTCTCAAAACTTTTTCAATTTGATTAGGGTTTGATTAGGTTCAAACATTTCTAGTACTTACCTACATTGTTATCTATTATCGGATTCCTGTCTCGATTTTTATCTAATTTATCTACATTAGCAACACTTAGTGGGTAGTAAAGAGTCTTTACGGTAACGAGTTTGTCAAGTATTACAGAAGTACTAAAGTACTGTACCTACCTTGATCGAATTACTTGAATTGGAAATTATGCTATTAGGTTTCTACTAGCTGGATACTGTGGCTGGAAAACAATCATTCAATAGCCTACACTTAGTTAGTTAATTTAAAGTCTAAACTCTCAATCTCTAGCTTCTACTAGTATTCATAAATAGTTCAAACATTTGGGTACTCATTTGGCACGGTAGTCTTTTTCACAAAGAAATCTTCTCAAGTATACCGCAACCTTATTAGAATAATGTAACGTCTTATGTTTACTGTAACTCGTTGTAAGTACTGTAGCTTTTCATAGAGTACGGGAAGAACGCCGCTAGAACTTAAATGTTTATAAAGATGAGGGTAAATGTCCTTAAAGATTAGGGTTTAATTTTTATTTTTTTATTTTTTCAAAAGCATATTTATAAAAGTCAGTTGGGCTTGAGATTGTACACCGATTTAGGCAGATGTTATCAAGAAATTTTGAAAACATTAGAAATCCAAGAAAAGTCACAAAATTGGCACTTTCTACAGTCTAAAATGCACTAAATGCAAAAAATACAGAATTCTGTCGATCATATATGTTTCAGAGAAAGCTTAAACTTTTCTTGGAAACATTTCGCCACTTTTAATAATTTCAGGTCCAAAACTTTTGCAGCTGTTACGCCCGTTTTCTTTTCGCGTTGGTTATAAAACAAGAACTAGAGAAAGAATATTGAGAACAGAACTAGAGAGGAAAGTGAAACGTTGGAAAGGGGTTGAAGCTATGCAAACGTGAAAGCGGGTCTTGAAGAATAGTTGTTCAATTTTTGCTCGATTCAAAGCAGAATGCAAGTCAAAAAGGGAGCTGATAAAAACTAGCGGTTAGGTTTACTTGTGTTTTTGAGCTGATTTTATTTAGAAGCAATCTGGGAGGAAAGTGCCAAAAAGGAGAAACGGTTGAAAAAGCGGCACCAATTCGTTATGAGCAATCCCAAAGTGTGCAAAATGTAGAATGCAGTTAATCTGGCATAATTTACCATACTGATCAAACTGGAGCAAAATCATAAATGCATTTTCTTTAAACTGTTTTGCTTCTATTCCTCAATCTAAGTTAGAAGCCAGAAAGATTTCAAAATGATGATACGAAAATGCGGAAATTTTCTGGTCGGAAAAAGGCAAGATCGATTGAGAGAAAAGCACGCGACGCCCCTGCACATCAGGGAAAAGAAAGCCCGCAAATCACAGACTCTTGGCGGGATTTAGAAGTGGAAAATGAACTAGAAAAAGAAGATTGAGGATAAAAACTAGAGAAACAAGAACAAGGTTGTCATATTAGTTACCATAGTTGACAGTAGAAAACATGACAACTAATATGTCAACTAATACTAATGGCGGGCGTTTAACGAGGGAAGGTTGCCCTTGCCCAAGGTTGCCGTATACTATCCCAAGGTTGCCGTCGACTTCAGAAGCTACCGTACCCATCAGAAGTTACAGTACTCCTATGAAGTTAATTTTAATTTTAATTTTAATTTTTAGGATCAACATGAAGAGGCTTGATCCGTAACTGCAACGCGTTTCAGGAAACAAAGCTCAAGGATGAGCGAACCAAAAGCGGAAAACACTTTCAGCAACTTTATCTGAAAATCTGAAAATCTATCATAACTTTCCAAATTTTCATTTAAATTTTAGTTGCTACAAGAAAATCGCTACTAGTCATCATTTGATTTCATCTCGGAAAACTACGGGTCACTGCCGGTTTCGATAAAAGTTTTGGAAAAAACTCACAAAAATTGTTATCTGTTTAGAATTGGATTGTAATGAAAATAAATAAAAATCTAAAAATCAAATATAAATCAATTTTATCTTTTATCTTCCACCAAATTGTGCCAATTTTTTTCAAATTCTTTTCGAATCTCGATCGGGATTTTGACATAGAATTGAGCGATTTTCTCGAGAAGAGTCTCATCGGAGAGATTTGGTTGGGTGAGGAGAGCCGATACCTGAAGGGAAATTGATTGTATCGAATTTGTGCACTTGAAGTCTACTTTCAAAGTACAAGTACTTGTGCTTAAAAATACGGAAACAGATCAAAATTCTAAAATAACGAGTTGCAAGACTACTACAATGCTTACAATACTTACAATACTACAATACTAATAATAAGATCGAAATGTAGTTAGAAATATGTAAAAATTCCTTATTTTGGCATACCAAATGATGGTCTCTTCAAAAATTGTAATTTCTTAACGAAAACTGTGATCGAAAACCGACCAGTTTAAAACCAGTTGTTAAGGAAAATTTAGCTCTTTTAGAAAGAATCCGTTTACTTTTTGAAGTTGTATCTTTGCCTCTTCACTCATCCCATTGACGAATTGATGGACCTAAATAAGTTCCTAAATAATCAAACTGAAATTTTTATTTGTTTCAAGGTACCGTAAATATTGTAATAGTACCCCACTCCCATAATGATGGTGCGGAGTGTTGCGTAGTCTAGCTTTGAACGAGTTTTTCTCGACACTGGTTTATGCTACAATGGGCGACTGTACGCCGACTCATTTTCCCCAACCTAATAGAATTTGTAGCAAAAGTTCGATGAAAATCAAGGCTAATTTAGCAGTGAATTATAATATATAAGAGTACCGTAACCTAAAGAGGGTACCTAGAGAGTACCGTAACCTAAAGAGAGGGTACCCAAAGAGTAACGTAATCCAAAGAGTACCGTATGATTGTTATCACGTCTCACTTCTGAGAGTCCCATCTCAATCACGTCTAACTCTGAAATCAAGCGTTTCGATATCCGAAATCATCTTGCAACAAACTTCCTTCCTTTTCGACATCGGCAGTGAGATATCCGCTGAGCTCAGGCCCGTTGATCGGCCCCTCATTTGCATTTGCCACATTCGACTCCCCTTCTCGATTAAGCTCATAGCTTGGATCGTACATTCAACCGTCTCCGTCAAGCCCGGATTTTCCTACAATAGTATAAGGAATAAACCAACGTTTGTTAACAACTACCGGTAAATGTCCTCCAGAGTCAGGGCCGTGGCTGCTTTCTCGATCTTTTGAGCCACAATCCTTCTTCTTGAATATTTCCCACACCTCTGTACCATGCACCTTTTCTACGTGTTTCCGAATACTTGACGTGGCGGAATAAGCCTTCTTGCATCCTTGATATCCGCACTGGCGCTTCTAAATTGTGGGATTTTGTTAAATTATTTTTTATTTGTCACCTCCTTTCTATGTACTCCTTTCATGTGTTTAGCTCGATCATTAGTACTCCTGAACTCCTGAAACAAATCGGGTTTCCAAATCAAGAAAAAGGTTGGCACATATTGACTTGTATCGTATACCTGATTACAATCTTTACACCTATATGGCTTTTTGCCGGCGTGAAGATTTAAGTGCCATTTGAGCCCCTCGGCGCGAAAAAATGCCCTTGAACATCCAGGTTTTGGACATGTGTGTGGTTTCTCTCCGGTATGCTGCCTTACGTGAGCATTCAACCGGTAGGGAACTTGGAAGGACCGCTTTCTAAAGTTCACTTGAAAGTTTTAGAGTTATCAGATTGATGAACAAGTTTTTTCGTTCCTTTTCCTACTTTTTTGAAAGTTCAAATCTTCAAGTATTGACGTAATAACATGGAAAATTAAACAATAAACACTTTTTATTTGCAGTAAACTATAGGTTAATTCTAGGATTTATGATTTTTAAACGGAATTTTGAAAAAGAGAAGTTTGAAAAAGAAAACTTATTTGGTAACCTAATTCTTGAGCACTTACCCACGACAACTCCTCCACTCACAATTGTAACTATCCGGGCGAGGCTTAAATTGAGCCAACGGGTCGAAATGAACTGTTTTAACATGCGCTATTAGCCTCTAAATTTTCATGAACTGTTTTTAACTCTATCTACACTAAACCTCTTTTGTTTTGACCGCTTTTCGACACGCTCCCCATTTGCATATCATTGATCTGGAAAAAGCATAAGTTAGTCAAATTTCGAAAAAGCTCATCTCTAAAAAGTTTATAAGAGCAATAAAGCGTCGAAAAGTGTTTTTTTTGCAAATATATAGGAGAGAAATTTTCGAGAAAGAGGTGGGGTGTAATCAGTGAAAGAAAAATTGAATAAAAAAGGTGGAAAAGAGAGCAAAAAGACCATCGATCGCGCCACCCAGAAGTGCTAAAAGCTAGAGAAAAGCTAGAGAGTAGAACGAATGAAGAGAGTCAATGGTCTGCCTTTTTTCTCTAACCTCTTTCGAAATGCCACATCTCTCGAACTCGAACTCGAAAACACCAATAGGCATGCAGAGAAAGACTAAAAGCAAAAAAGAGGCCTAGCCTCTCCTCATAAACTACGATTTTTTAGAAAAATTGCTGTTGGCCCCGACCGCGCTTTTTTGACCGCCGGCCGACGAGAACTGACACTCGTGTGTGCTTTCAAGAACTGACAATAAAGAAATGTTAGAGATACAATGGGAGAAACCAAAGATTTCAAAATGTCCAAAAATGCGGGAAATTTTCTTGTTAGAAAGAGGCAAGACCAATCGAGAGAAGAGACGCCGAGACGCCAGACGCGAAGAGACGCCAGACGCAAATGGCGGAGGTTTGAAAAAGTGAAAAGGCGGCATATCACAGACTTTTGGCGGGATTTTAAAGTGAAAGGTGTATGAACGTTGTATTTTAAAAACATTTAAGAAATAGGGCAGCTATGCGAACGTAAATGAAAACAAGAACTAGAGAAAGAATATTGAGAACAGAACTAGAGAGGGAAAGTGAAACGTTGGAAAGGGGTTGAAGCGATGCGAACGTGAAAGCGGGTCTTGAAGAATAGTTGTTCAATTTTTGCTCGATTCAAAGCAGAATGCAAGTCAAAAAGGGAGCTGGATAAAAACTAGCGGTTAGGTTTACTTGTGTTTTGAGCTGATTTTATTTAGAAGCAATCTGGGGGGGAAAGTGCCAAAAAAGGAGAAACGGTTGAAAGCGGCACCAATTCGTTATGAGTAATCCCAAAGTGTGCAAAATGTAGAATGCAGTTAATCTGGCATAATTTACCATACTGATCAAACTGGGCAATCACTCAAATGCATTTTCTTTAAACTGTTTTGCTTCTATTCCTCAATCTAAGTTAGAAGCCAGAAAGATTTCAAAATGATGATACGAAAATGCGGGAATTTTCTGGTCGGAAAAAGACAAGATCGATTGAGAGAAAAGCACGCGACGCCCCTGCCCATCAGGGAAAAGAAAAGCCCGCAAATCACAGACTCTTGGCGGGATTTAGAAGTGGAAAATGAACTAGAGAAAGAAGATTGAGGACAAAAACTAGAGAAACAAGAACAAGGTTGTCATATTAGTTAACATAGTTAGTTATGTACCCATCAGAAGTTACAGTACTCCTATGAAGTTATTGTACTTATAACAATTTGTCTACGTCGCGAAAAGCTACCATAGCTATTGGATACAACATGATAAACCCCGAACTCACTACACAACAAGCACAATGTTGTCCCATTCCTTTCTCTCTTTTCTCTTCCCTCCCTTCTCTCCGCGATCCATTAATCCATTCGATTTCTTTCTTTATTTCACATCACTATAGACATAATTTTTATAAAAAGTTTTAATATAAAACTTCTAATTAAGAAGGAGGATTAATTAAGAAGGAGGAAGGAGATTAACTGCATTCTACATTTTGCACAGTTTAGTCAAATTTCGAAAAAGCTCATCTCTAAAAAGTTTATAAGAGCAATAAAGCGTCGAAAAGTGTTTTTTTTTGCAAATATATAGGAGAGAAATTTTCGAGAAAGAGGTGGGGTGTAATCAGTGAAAGAAAAATTGAATAAAAAAGGTGGGAAAGAGAGCAAAAAGACCATCGATCGCGCCACCCAGAAGTGCTAAAAACTAGAGAAAAGCTAAAGAGTAGAACGAATGAAGAGAGTCAATGGTCTGCCTTTTTTCTCTAACCTCTTTCGAAATGCCACATCTCTCGAACTGCGTCCCTCCGGGGGCTCCTCTGTGCCCGTCTCGGCTCCCGACCTCTTCTGTCATCGCTACGGTGGATCGGTCTCGGCAAGAGATTCGAAAACACCAATAGGCATGCAGAGAAAGACTAAAATATTTTCCGCTTTTCCGACCGCCGGCCGACGAGAACTGACAGTCGTGTGTGCTTTCAAGATTTGACAATAGAGAAATGTTAGAGATACAATAAATGAAGAACCTCTAGTCTCTGCCTTGAAACCATGAAACCATTTGAAATATACAAGGAAAAGGCCGGTAAATTCAACCTATCTATTGGGTTGGAAATAAGTATAAGGAAACAGATTTAAAGAGGACTAAATTTAGAGAAAAACCAGAAAGATTTCTAAAATGTCAAAAAAGGCGGAAATTTTCTGTCAGAAAGAGGCAAGACCGTTTGAGAAAAGAGTACGCGACGCCCCAAGATGCATTTGATTAATAACGCAAGCGCGGCGCGAGTGGCGGGCGTTTGAAAAGGAAAAGGCGGGCTAGAACAGGAATTTGAACTGAAAGATGTATGGAATGTATCTTTAAAAAACATTTAGAAAATAAAACAGCTATGCGAGCGTGTAAGCGGGTCTTGAAGAATAGCTGCGTCGTTGTTCAAAATTTACAAATGAAACCAATAAAGACTGACGGGAGGAAAGAAAATCAAGAATGAGGAGGAGAGAAATTCTCGAGAAAGAGGTGGGGTGTAATCAGCTGAAGGTTGAACACTGACAAACGGGTTTTTTGAGTTGCAGTTTTTTATCTTAACTAGACTATTTTATAACTTTGTTTTAGTGAAAGCCTGGTTTTCCTCGGCTTTGTTCTCATAAATCGTGCTATTCTGGTCTTCTTTCTAAGTTACATAGCCGAGATCCTCCAGTTTCATTTTCCAGATTCATTTCTATCAAATTGTTCCGAATTTTACGTATTCGTATTGTACAATTGCTCACAATCACCAATCATAAATGGGTTTTTATTTAAAAGCATCAATGATAAGAGTTGGAAATGATAAGAGTTGTTGCTTGTTTCGACGTCTTACTCATCCCAGTTTTTTGTTGATCACAATAACATAAAGAAAAGAACTTCTAGAGAACCGGTTGACGATACTAAAATCAGAAAATTTAATCTTTATCATTTCTTTTATGAAATCTCACCTCTTTTATGTAAATGATGACAATCCATGCGGTAAAAGTCGCATAAAAGTTTGTGCCCAATTTGAGGAGCAATTGAAAGATTTGAATCGGAATCCAGTTGCTGAGATTGAGGAATCCAGTTGCTCCGTCAAAAGTGGAAAGAAGTAATAAAGAATGACGGAGAATACCTTTTGGATTGATGTTGATATTTGTTCATCTTGTTAATAAATTTTTTGTTTTTACTGAAAAGGGCCAATATTTTGTTGCAAACCTGATATTTCTAGATATTTCTCTGTTCTTAGATCTTTGTATTCTCATTTCTTTAGCAAAATATCCGTTTATTGATCTTTTCTTGACCTCTTCTTGATCTTTTCTTCAAACTAACCGAATCGAATAAGAGATGGTCGCCCGGAATTCGCCTCCAAGCCCCAATTCGGCGCAGAGAACCCGCGCAGAGAATTCTTAAAGTACTGTAGCTTTTCATAGAGTACGGGAAGAACGCCGCTAGAACTTAAATGTTTATAAAGATGAGGGTAAATGTCCTTAAAGATTAGGGTTTAATTTTTATTTTTTTATTTTTTCAAAAGCATATTTATAAAAGTCAGTTGGGCTTGAGATTGTACACCGATTTAGGCAGATGTTATCAAGAAATTTTGAAAACATTAGAAATCCAAGAAAAGTCACAAATTGGCACTTTCTACAGTCTAAAATGCACTAAATGCAAAAAATACAGAATTCTGTCGATCATATATGTTTCAGAGAAAGCTTAAACTTTTCTTGGAAACATTTCGCCACTTTTAATAATTTCAGGTCCAAAACTTTTGCAGCTGTTACGCCCGTTTTCTTTTCGCGTTGGTTATAAACAAGAACTAGAGAAAGAAGATTGAGAAATCAGAAATAGAGAGGAAAGTGAAACGTTGGAAAGGGGTGGAAGCTTATGCGAACGTGAAAGCGGGTCTTGAAGAATAGTTGTTCAATTTTTGCTCGATTCAAAGCAGAATGCAAGTCAAAAAAGGGAGCTGATAAAAACTAGCGGTTAGGTTTACTTGTGTTTTGAGCTGATTTTATTTAGAAGCAATCTGGGAGGAAAGTGCCAAAAAGGAGAAACGGTTGAAAAGCGGCACCAATTCGTTATGAGCAAAGTGTGCAAAATGTAGAATGCAGTTAATCTGGCATAATTTACCATACTGATCAAACTGGAGCAAAATCATAAATGCATTTTCTTTAAACTGTTTTGCTTCTATTCCTCAATCTAAGTTAGAAGCCAGAAAGATTTCAAATGATGATACGAAAATGCGGAAATTTTCTGGTCGGAAAAAGGCAAGATCGATTGAGAGAAAAGCACGCGACGCCCCTGCACATCAGGGAAAGAAAAGCCCGCAAATCACAGACCTTGGCGGGATTTAGAAGTGGAAAATGAACTAGAGAAAGAAGATTGAGGATAAAAACTAGAGAAACAAGAACAAGGTTGTCATATTAGTTACCATAGTTGATACAGTAGAAAACATGACAACTAATATGTCAACTAATACTAATGGCGGGCGTTTAACGAGGGAAGGTTGCCCTTGCCCAAGGTTGCCGTATACTATCCCAAGGTTGCCGTCGACTTCAGAAGCTACCGTACCCATCAGAAGTTACAGTACTCCTATGAAGTTAATTTTAATTTTAATTTTAATTTTTAGGATCAACATGAAGAGGCTTGATCCGTAACTGCAACGCGTTTCAGGAAACAAAGCTCAAGGATGAGCGAACCAAAAGCGGAAAACACTTTCAGCAACTTTATCTGAAAATCTGAAAATCTATCATAACTTTCCAAATTTTCATTTAAATTTTAGTTG